TCCTCCCGCTTGCCCGGATATTAGCCCGTTCGTCTCCTGCTCCCGTCCCCTTGTGTCTGCTCTTCTCCTGTTGTTGCTCCATTCTGGTGTCCTCCCTCCTTCTCCCCCTTAAATAGTATGCACAGCCTTTATAGCTTTGTTTTGAACAGCTTTCAGTCTAGATGCAGTAATAATGACCTTGCATTCGGGCAACTATGTCTAGATACAGAAATAATGACCTTGCGCGTTCAATCCGAGTGAAGACGGTAGGAGTCGTTATCGTCATGGCCTTTTTTGTATTGGCCAGTGTTCGTCTGCAGGAGACGTCAGTTTCTTCAACTTGGGATAGCACGTCGATCTCCTACACTGTTCCTCCACTCGCTTTCTATGTGGAATCGCACGTAGGTATATTGAAGTATAGACGTCAGGTTTCCAGTTAGATACAGACATGGAAGTCAGGTTTCCAGTCAGATACAGACATAGAAGTCAGGTTTTTGGTCAGATACAGACGTAATATCTAGGCAATCTGTTCGGGCATGGATGTTAGAGACGTCCTTCTGACCCTTTTCTTGGTACTCATCCGGCGACCGAAGCACGATCTGCTCCTTCCTTTCCTTTCTCCTCTCCTTTTCTCACCGTTATCGTCTTTTTGCTCACATTTCTTGGTATCATTTTTTCTATTGATTAATAATGATGATGGGATTGCTTCTTCCAATGGTGTATTTTACTTGTATCAGGAGACCAATTCCGGCGGCTACTGTGTTTACCCGAATAGAACGCCCGGTCATTATTATAGCTATAATGGGTGCAACTTTCAGTGTAGACGCAGCGATCATGACCGGGTGTTCTATTCGGGTGAAATGCGATAGCCTTCTGCAAACAGCATGGTGCAGCTCTATATACGTCCACGCGCCTGGGAACCTCTCCTTCCTCCTCTTCTCCTTCTTTCCCTTCGCCGTTATCTTCTTCTCCTTTTTCGTTTGTCGTCGGTGTCATCTTCTCTCTGCTCCCAATCGCTTTTTGTAACCCCGGCTATTCCTCCTTATAGCAGTTATAGCCTGCTTTTTCCGCCAGCTTGCGGTGCAAACCCGCTTTTCTCATGATCTCGGTGTGCTCTTGTCCTCTTCTGGCTGCTTTTTCCGCCAGCTTGCGGTGCAAACCCGCTTTTCTCATTTTTTGTGCGCTATCTTCTTTTGTATGTAGATGCTGAGAGGGCAACTGGTTCTTTACGCCGGGTTGGCCTGATTTATCTAGTTAGTCACTTGATTGATCTTATTAGTTACCTAACTTTGTATGGCGGCTATGCTTTGTGGAGGGATGTACACGCGATTGAGCTTGGGCGAAGGAAGAACCAGGCCGATGATGGTGGGTGGGGTTTTCGTTTTGCTCAGCGACCGGTAGTAGGAGATGTTCTTAGGTTCTAGTGCTGTTGGATAAGCTAAGTCAGAGTTTGAGGCCGTTTTTTTTTCCCGTTTATTTCTCTAGTTGAGCTTTTATTCAACTATGGGTAGAGAAAGGGAGGGAGGGGGGGGGCCAAGAGGTAGAGAAAGGGAGTGAGGGTGGAACTTTGTGTGTGTATGGCGCGCGCTCTTTGCGTTTTGTTTGTGTGCGTCTGTGCCTGTGTATGTGTGTGTGGGGGAGAGAGAGAGAGAGAGAGAGAGAGAGAGAGAGAGAGAGAGAGAGAGAGAGAGAGAGAGAGAGGGAGGGTTTTTTAGGGATTTAGTGGTAGTTGGGCCAGCGTTTGGACGATTGGCACGGGCAAATGCCAGTAGTAAAGAAGTCGGATTCAAGTTGAGGTAATGCGAGAGGGAGCGAAAGGGAGAAGACGAGTCTGGCCGAGTTTTGCTGTGGCGTTAGGTTTTCCCCGTTGGCAATTCACATTCTGGAAGGGGGCACAGAGAGAGAGAGAGAGAGAGAGAGAGAGAGAGAGAGAGAGAGAGAGAGAGAGAGA